TCCCAAAGTGCTGGGATTACAGGCTTGAGCCACCGCGCCCGGCCCACGATCTATATTTTAAGTTTGTCTCTCCTAGTAGAAAATTCCTTGAAAATAGGAGACAAATTTATCTCTCTCACTTGCTTTCTTATCTTTAACCTTTCTCTCCCTCCCTTAGCCATTCATTCAAACATTCATTCAGCACTATATGCCATGCTCTGTGCTTGGGCTGAGCAATAAGCAGTGACTAAGGAAGGCTCAGTCCTTGGGCCCTTGGGCAGCCTAGTCCAGTAGGACAGACAGACTGTGAAGAGGGATTGCAAGGATCCTGTGCACCAGGAGAAAGGAGAGGAACCAGCACAGGGGAGAACACAGCCATGGCAAAGCAACCCAACCCAGGAGGGCAGTGCCTGGCTTCAAGAGGAAATGAAGTTTAATCTGAGACCTGGAGCATGAGTAGGATCTGGCAAAGTGAAATAGGTGTTTGCTTTGTGATAAATTCACTGAGCTGTACATATATGTTTGTTCTTCTGTGCAAAATGCAAAGTTCAAAAAAAGAAAAAACACACCCCAAATAAAAAGGGGTCACCTGACATTTAATAAAATGTCCTAACATGAGACAGATGGACCAAAGTAAGTAGAAAAAACAAACTTGTCAGACGTAAGGACCAAGCAAAGAGCAGAACAGGACTGAAAGAGACACAGAGAAACAGAGAGAGAGTGAATATCCAGGCCCAGACATCTGCCTTAGTCTAGCCGACAAAAGGTGCTCACAAAAGTTTGTGGTCCTAATGACAGACAGATTATTTCCATGGCTTGTGTTGGAGTGAGTGGACTTGGCGCCGTGGTTCTCTAGAACCCGGACTCCAAGTTTTTCAAGGCTTCCTGGGTGGGCACCGAACTAGCCCCCTGAGGCAGGCCTGGCACCAGACTACTTTAGGAAGCTGGAAAGGTGGCCAGCTGGCTATCCAGCATTTGTCCTGCAGCATTTGCTAGAAAGAAAGTTCCTTATCGTGGTGTGAGGCTGGTTAGTCTCTACTGGTGGTTAGAGATACACTTAGCAAGAAGTCTTTTTTTTTTTTTTTTTTTTTTCTGAGGGGAGTGATTATCAAAGAAGAAGGGTATATGTGTTTGTAAAACAAGTCATGGGTACTCCAGCAAATTATAGTACCCATATTAAATTAAAAAAAAAAAAAGAACTCTGAGAGTGTCTTGTAATTCACATACTTCATTCAGCAAATAGTTAACTGAATTGCTACTCTGGGTCTGGCCTGATCTTAGAGAGAGAGAGCAGAAAGGATGTGAACCCTGCCCATCACAAACTCACATCCCAGAAGTGGGTGGGAACCCAGGGGTAGGCAGCACGACAAGTGCTATGCCAGCAGTGTGGTGGTAATAGAAGGTAAGCATCTAACAATTCTCATGCATGCCTCTTGTTAAATGAAGACCAATCAGAATTAAGAAATGGAGAAAAATATGTGACATTAAAATCGTGATAGAAAATGATTCATCGTGTACCGTGTGTACAACAAGTTTGTTGCAAAGTGAAGAATACCTGTCTTGTAAGTGCTTTTGGGTAATCCAAACCCACCCAAGTTGGTGAGTCCTTTCCAGTGGGTCCTAATCTAGTGCTTTAGGTGAGCCCTTCTGGGTGGAAGGACCAGAGTTTCACTGAGTCCTTGAGAAAAGGGCTTTTGCTATGAGATAATTTGTATGAATGGGAATAAGGATAGGAACACTGGGAGAAACCTAGGGATTTATTTAGAAATTGATCCTTTCTCTGTATCTCTCATGAGCTGCCTCGTCTCTTTCTCACATGTTTTTGCTCTTCTCCATGGGCCTTACTCACTACCAATTCTAACTGCCTTATTCTCTCTTCCTATGCTACACATCTTTACTCACAACTCTGCCTCCTCACAACTCCTCCAACATCCTTTCTGTTCAACACTTGTTGTTGTTTTATTGGTATCTCCTAGTTCACACTTCCCAGAGACAGTCAGAATCCTTATTTGTTTGTGCCTGTGAGTTAAGTGTGTTATACAGCTTTCTAATTCTGGATGAACTGGCTATAGCTGGAGGAAGATATAAAACATGACCCCCTTGAGCTCCTTCATCAGTGGGAATTGGTGCCATAACCAATTAGTGATGTCTGTCACATGCATAAGCTCTCTCAGGGCATGGGAACAGGGTCTTCTTCATGTGTTTACCTTAAGTGTGGAACTTCCCACACTGTTTCATAACTATTTATTTGTTTATCTTCCTCAGAAGACTATAAGGACTGCTAGAGTTGAAACCATGTTGTATCCATTTCTAAACTGTGCATGCCTAGCTAGCATAGGTTAGTGGCACATAGTAAATGTTCAACCAATATTTATTAAATGAATGCCCTTCCTTCCCATGTGTAACTCTTCTTTCTTGCTCTTCTAATAACATCATATACATAGCAGATAAAATATGTTTCTATTTTATGTGTATTTTCTAATTAGCAAAATCCTACGCCTCTGATAAAGGTGGGCTCCACTGCCATCTCTTTTACAAAACATTCCCAGATTCCCCCATCAGATTTAACTGCTCTGTACTTTGTGTGTTGATACTTGCTAGTACCATTATTTCAGACTGCCTCATATTTTAATTAATCATTTATAGGTTTTCAGTCAGGAGATAGTAAAGTTTTCTTAGGATAGGGAATGCGACTCATTCATGTTTGTCTTCTCCCCCAGCACCGAGTAGATCCTTACTAAACATCTGCTGAATTGAATAGCCACTGGAAGCAAACTTTGTGTGGGTTTTCCAATAGCATGATTGAATTTGTACATATCTACCCACACTTCTTTTTGACCACTTGAATACATTCATGAGAGAGCTGGTCAAAGCCAGGGGTGCAGTCTGAGGCCATTAAACAAAGAAAAACTAACAGTCCCATATGGGGACGTACCCCTGACCTGGATCTCATTAGCACCATCTGACAACCAACTGAGCCAACCAGCCAGTGTTTCATAACTCTTAATGATACAGGCTCACTTTGAGAATCAGGTTCATTTTTTTAAATGACATAATAGGAAAATGATCACAGGCCGTGAGGTAGGAAAGGAGAGTGGATAATGAGGAAGGGGAAGTAAGAGAATGACACCACAGGGGATGTTCATATGAGGAAAGATCTAAAAGACGGGGAAGAACAAAGAAGATCTGGAAGGGAGAAAGTAAAGGGGAATGGAGCCTGGGTTTCAACGATGGAGTTTTTATTCATCTATTCCACTATTCCAAGAACAAGGAAATAATCCCTGAATCTAGAAAGCAAGATCTGTAGGGTAATAAAGAGATGCACCTTTAGGCTGTGCGTATTATTCTTCATCTATGGCTTTCGCTATTAAAGGATATGAGTGAAACAACATGGAAACATTTATTTTTCTACAAAAATGTAATGAGAAGATTTGGTATTTGCAATAACACATGCTAGGATCAAATTGTAGAGGCTTTTAAGTCACTGGGCCAATAACTTAAACCCAATGCTTTACTGCTGCCTGATTAAGTACATTTATGGAGATCTGATGTCTGATTTGAATGCACTCAACATTGGTTACTGTCAAAGACCAGATACTGAATTAGATGGTTCATTGATTTACTCTAATATGGAAATATCTCAGATGATGATAGGTGCTAAGAATTAACCTTATATAAAAGGGCTTGTATTTATATTCTCTGACATAACAAACTGATAAACATGCTATCAAATGCTGTTTATGCAAGGAAAGCAGAGTTATTATTTTTTTATTTTTATTTTTGGCTAAGGAAGACATTAAGATGCATACTTTTAATTTTTTAAATTTACTCTTTGAGAACAAAACCATTCAGCTATGCTTAATCTGATGTTTTTTCCAATTATGTTGGAAAGCACTAACAAATGTATCAGTTTTTTAACTTTGCTTTATAACACTTGAGTGCTTACCACTTGATGTGCCATTTAAAGGATAATTAATGGATAAACTAAAAGGATAATTATCATGGAGTTTAATATAGTAGGCAAACTGCTCATTAATCCTTACAAGCATAGCTTTGTTATTATCATTTACTTAAAAAGATACCACAGGGAACTGGTATTTACCACCACATTAACTATATATTATATACCCACACTGTATGTTTCTGCAATAATTTTGACTTATTTCAAAACTAAACTTTATTTAAAATAAATCTTGTTGGCTAATTGATACTCTGGAAAATCAGACTTACAACTTTCATGTTTTGTTTTCTCTTCTAAGGGTTTAATACTCATATTAAAGTTTCCTTTAGGAAAAGTTAAGTGAACTTTCAGCATAGCAATTCACTGAACTATCAAATAGTCATTAAAAATTATAAACATGGGCCGGGCGTGGTGGCTCATGCCTGTAATCCCAGCACTTTGGGAGGCTGAGGCGGGTGGATCATGAGGTCAGGAGATGGAGACCATCCTGTAACATGGTGAAACCCCATCTCTACTAAAAATACAAAAAATTAGCCGGGCGTGGTGGCGGACGCCCGTAGTCCCAGCTACTCGGGAGGCTGAGGCAGGAGAATGGTGTGAACCCGGGAGACGGAGCTTGCAGTGAGCCGAGATCGCGCCACTGCACTCCAGCCTGGGCAACAGAGTGAGGCTCTGTCTCAAAAAAAAAAAAAAAAAAAAATTATAAACATGAAAAAATAAAGATATATCGAAAAGGATACACAAAATGACACTAAAATTGATCAAGATTAAAGAGAACACAAATGTAAATAATTACATCAATTTTCTGCAATGTTACTTAAATAATCAATAAAAATATCTTATGGAACTTTCGGCATATAATTCACTCTATATACATCTTAGTTAATCATAACTTGCCCAACATTCATTTAAAAAACCGTAACAATTTACCAAAAAAGGAAATGTGCCAATGTGTTAACAAGATTATGTCTGGGTTACATTTTTTTCCCTTTTATAAATTTTTCTCATTTTCTATTAGAAGTTTGTATTTAAAAATCCACAACTTTATTTATTTATTTTTAAGGTTTCGAATGTACTTTATTTCTTCAATAATGCCATATCTTAATGGGTACACAGTGCTTTAACTTGGCATCAATTATGAGTTGTTTTTTAAACAATTCATTATTACACCAGCTGGGATGATTACCGATCTCTCCCTTCCTTTGGGGTGACTCTGCCAACAGGGGACAGGTTCCATTCTGTTCCGATTTGTATTGCTACATATCTCCATACAGAAAGTGGCTCCACTAGCTAATACAGCACTACCGTATTTATCATGAAAATCAGGTGTACGTTTGTGGTGGCTCTGCCTTGCCATTGTTTGCTGAATGCTTTGAATTTGGAGGCAACTTAGTGCATTTTTGACCAAGAGGAACATGGTGAAGGTGAAGACAGAACTGTGGCAATGCAGCTGCTGCTTTGGCGCAAATCCACTTCAGATCCAAAACTTTATTTTAAAAAAAGTAAGTACTATATCACAAGTCTTTCTTTTGTGGATAAATAATTGAGATAGAATGGCAAAAAATTTTTTTAGAGACTGTAGTAACAGATCTAGCATTTAAATCAGACTTCTGATTTGCTTCTTTTATTAATATTAAATTGTTCTCTAAGGATACTTTAGCAGAGTTGCTCTGGGATATCCTGGGATAAGGAAGAAACATGACTATTATATGTGTTATTTTCCAGAGTATTAATCAGCTTATAAGATTTGTTGTTTGATGATGACAATGAATATTATTATTAATGAGCAAAAATCCTTCTTCCAGGATGTATACCTCAAACCACGAACATCATCTGAATTGTAAGTCATGAAGATAGGGAGCATGTCTATCCAATCGATTTTATGACTTAAAACTAAAGATATGGCTGTTGACGAAAACTGGGGGATCTGAGTCTTTTCACTAGACAACTATTTATTTTACTATTGATATTCAGTCCATCACAGAATTTTTACTTCAGCGAGAAGGGAAGGAATTTTAAATGGGAAGTAACCAACATTCATTAAATAACTTCTAATCAGCAGGCACTACTATTCTTTTGCATATATGGTTCATTTAACCTTTTTAATACCTTAGGTGGTAGGACTTACAATCCTTATTTTACAGATTAAGAAATCAAGTCTCAGAAAATGTTAAGGTATCTGCCTAAGGTATCACAACTAGAATGTCAGGGTTTCAACCCCAGATCTTGCTAGTTCAAAAGCCTGCCTCCTACAACACTGTCTTCTGGAATGCTCATAAATCCAGAATCCTTAAAGAATAACTGGTTAAAATAAAGCCACAGCATTAAGACTATGAAATCTTAATTATGAAATCATGAGGCATTTAACCAAGAGCACCTACTAATCACATCCAACCAGGATATTCACTTTATTTTTCTTCTATTTTAAAAATTAATTATTATGGGTACAAAACAGTTGTATATACTTAGGGCATTACCTTTAATTCCAAGGCTTCTGAGAGTAATTTCTGGGCATTTTTCCTAAACGACTCGGTTTTGGGATCACTTCTAACTTCAATAGAAGGTCTATTTGAATGTTTTTCAATGAAAGTTTTCCACTCAGTGTAAACTTCTCTGGCAAGAGAAGCCACTTCTGAATCTGAGTGTTTACGCATCTTGTTCACAGTGTGACCTGGAACAGGAAGAGAAAAACCAAAGGAAAAGTTGTTACATCTTCTTCTGAAAAGTGCAGGACTAGATGGACTGACTGACGTGTGGTACTGAGAAAGTCATTCACACACCCAAGGATGTAAAGACTCTTGTGCAAAAGAAACCTGTTTCAAAAGGACTGAGATAATAAGATAATCACTAGGGGAGAACCAGCAGCCTAGCCAATGAATTAAGTCATAAACTAGAAGCAAAATCAATAGATTCTTAAAAAGAACAACAAAGGTAACTTCTTTAACCAAAAATTACTATAAAAGAAAATGAATTAAGCATTTATCTAGTTTTTTGGGGGAAGGGGGTACATACTATATTTCAAGACAACAAAATAGCCCTAGTTATTATGGGAATATTATTTAGCTAATAAATGTGAAAAGACTGATAGAATGAGAACATTTTTTTGTAGCCCTGATGAAATAATTCATTCAGAGACAATCATCAGTGGATGAACTAATTCAATGAGTCTGATGAGGAAATTTATAATGGAGGGATGAGCTGTCATCATCTAAACCCACTGTTCAGTGTTAGCATCCCTAAGAGTGGGACTATCAGACAGAAGAAACAGAAGTACTTCACACCCTCAACCTATGAAGTAGTCTTATCCTTTTCCCCAAAAGAAAAAGAACCATAATCCAGTTAGTCATTCAAAGCTAACTTCCAATCCACAGGAAATAGGAGAGACAGAGGAATAAATTAAATTATAGTATGAAGAAACAAGACAAATTCTGAATGTGGGACATTCTACAGGACAACAGACATGGTTTCTTCCACAGTCAGTGGTTCCTTTTGTTGTTGTTTTTCGTTTGTTTTTCTGAAAAGGGGCTAGGGTTAGGGACTGAAGTAGATTAAAAGTCTCTTGAGTACAAACTAACAAATGCGATGCGTGATTCAAATCCCAATTGGAACAAACCAACTGTTAAAAGATATTTTGAGATAAACAAGGAATATGAATATGTACTAGATACTAAATTATACCAAGGAATAATTGTAAACTTTGTTAAGCACAAGAACAATGATACTGTGGTTACATGAGAAAATACCCACATTTTTTAGAGATGCATACTGAAGTATGTAGAGTTCAAATGACAAAAGGTCTGAGATTCTGCTTTAAAATACCTCAGGAACAACATAAAAGCAAAAACAGAAAGAAGAAGTAGGGCAAAATCTTAATAGTTATTGAATCTAGATGAAGGGCATATAGGAGTTATAATATTCTCTTTATTTTTGTGTATGTTTGAGAATTTCATAATAAAAATGGAAAAAAAGGTGAAGGGTCAAAAATATCAATATGCAAAAGTACTTAGATAAAAATAAATGCCTAGAAAGGCTAAAGAAGTCAACTGAACACTGAAAACAAAGTTCAAAAAATGGAAGAATACAAGATACATATATATTTTTTAATTTTTAATTTTAATGAATGTTTTAATCCTGATCCATGGGTTGAATATAAGATAGATATATTTTTAAAAACCAGTAGCTTTTTAAAGTCAGCAACAGCCAGTCAGAACACAACAGGGGAACAAATCCTGTTTAAACTAGTAAAAACTATACAGCACTTTGGAAAGCATGGACAAGAATGGGTGTGTGAGCATGCATGTGTGCTGTCTGTCTATGCCCACTTCCTTAATGCTCTGGGATTCCTCCTTTTCCTCCATCCCTAGCCCCATTGCCCTGCCTTAGGGCATGTTGCCTCCAGATGACTATGAAGGTACCCTGGTTGACCTCTCTGGCTAAGTTTGATACCCCTTAATGCCATCTTCCACACTGCAGCTAGGATAGCCTTTATTTATTTTTAGTGTTTTCTTTTTTAGGGACTTTTTTCCTAAAGCATAAATTTGACCATTTCACTCCTCCACTTAAATTCTTTGGTGCTATATCCACCCTTACCTCTTCATAAAAGTCCCTTCACAATCTGCCATCCTCCTACCTACTTTCTATCTTCATTTCCAGCTACTATCCACTGTCATCCAATACTCCAGCTACTTGCAGCTCCTAAAACATTTTATTTTTTATCTCTTTATTTTTGAGCACACACCCCAATGAACATTCTGTCTGCTTGAAATACTCTTACTTCTCTTTTTATCTGGCCAACTTCCATTCGGCCTTTAAGACTCATTTAAGGGCCCCTTCCTCCAGGAATTCTCCCTTAATATCTCTAGTTTTGGTCAGTACCCCTGCTCTCTGCTTCCTTAGCACCTTGTGTTCTGTTTATCATGATTATTACTAGAGTTAGTTGTAATTATTTGATGGGTTATCTCTTTCGTTCACCAAATTGAGCTTCTTGCAGAAAGAGCTAACCTTAGGGGATGCTCATCTTTGTATCTCCAGCAGTGAGCATAGTGCCAGGAGATGGGAATCAGGAGAGCAGGCTGGTTGAATGAGAGACTCATATAAAGAATAACATACATTCCTACTACAATACATAACAGAAGATTTGAATAAAGGGAAAATATACCTTGTTACGAGATGGAAAAATCAGCACAAAAATGCCAATATAGAAATTAGTCGGCTGGGTGCAGTGGCTCATGCCTATAATCTCAACACTTTGGGATGTCAAGGTGGGAGGATCACTTGAACTCACAGGAGTTCAAGACCAGCCTGGGCAATATAGTGAGACTCTGTCTCTACAAAAAATAAAAAAAAATTAGCCAGGTGAGGTGGCATATGCCTGTACTCTCAGCTACTTGGGAGGCTGAGATGGGAGGATGGCTTGAACCCAAAAGTTCAAGGCTATAGTGAGCTGTGATCATGCCACTGCACTCTAGCCTGGGCAACAGAGCAAGACCCTGCCTGAAAAAAGAAAATAAAAGAAACAAAAAAGAAATTAGTTTATAGATTTTATGTAATCTCAACCAAAAATCTCAGTAGGCTATTTTTATTAGACTACAACCAAATACTTCTACACGAATATAACTCAGCAAGTGTATAAAATGCTATTTTGAAAAAGAGGAGTTATGAGGCACAACTAGCCTCATATCTAAGACCTAAGATATTAGAACATATTATAAAGTAACAATGTTGAAAATGATATGGACCAACACCAAAAAAGAAAATGGATAGGGAATAAAAATAATGAAGGCCGGAAACAGACTATAGTACATAAGAATTTAATACATAATGAAAGAGGCATCATTGAACAAAGGGAAGCAGAAAAACATTTTTATTTGAGAAAATGGTCAAAACATTTAGAAAATTTCTCCAATTATGCCAACTGCATAGCCCAATATTGTTTGATTCCTTTATTCTCCACACAATTATTGAAGGCCTGTTTGCTCTAGATACTATGCTAGGCACTAGTCATGTAGGGCTTAAACAAGAAATTGTCCCTGCTTTAAAGGTTCTATGAAGAGAATCCTGGAGTTGAAAAATAAAACTTTGAAGGGAAGACAGGGTAAAATAATATTGAGTCTTTAACTTCTCCCTCTAACCAATTATTTATCAAAAATTTGTACCTAGCCTTTCTATGGACCTGGGAAAGGAGTACATCAATACTAATCACAAGGAGGAAGAGGAAGAGGAATGCAGAGCACTCATTAGAAATGTCTAAAGGTGCTTCCTAGCTAGCGGTGCTTAGGAAAGTGCATTCCAATACACATCACTTTAAAGCACAAAGCATCCCTGGGTACTTTCCTCTTCTGGGTGGAGTTCTCCTTATCCCTGAGATTATTCATTCAGCAAGCAACATTTTATGCTCTTAGTCACTGTAGTAGATGCTAAAAATAAAATGATAAATAAGACAGTACAGGATGTCAGACCTAGATCCAGAGCATTTAAACACTTTTTTTTTTTTTAGATGGAGTTTTGCTCTGTCACCCAGGCCGGAGTGCAGTGGCCACCACGCCTGGCTAATTTTTGTAATTTTAGTAGAGACAGGGTTTTGCTATGTTGGTCAGGCTGGTCTCGAACTCCTGACCTCAGGTGATCCACCCACCTTGGCCTCCCAAAGTACTGGGATTACAGGCATGAGCCACCGAGCCTGGCCCATTTAAACACTTTTACCAGGCACTTACCTTATGTCTGGTGCTGAGGATACAGAGATGAGGAGGACACAGCCCCAGGAATTTAGCCTGCATTTTACCTGCCAAAGTGTACAAAGAAGACACATGCACAGAAATATTCCTTCCAGTATTGTCTGTGATAGCGAAAAGCTAGGAATAACCTACAAGCTCATCATGAAGGGTCCTGTTTGTTAAATAAATTATAGTCCATTTAAACAATAACAACTTTGCAGCCATTAAAAACTAAAATAGGCTGGGCGAAGCAGCTCATGTCTGTAATCCCAGCACTTTGGGAGGCTGAGGTGGGTGGAACCCTGGAGGCCAGGAATTTGAGACCAGCCTGGCCAACATGGCGAAACCCTGTCTCTACTAAAAATACAAAAATTAGCTGGGCGAGGTGGTGAATGCCTGTAATTCCAGCTACTCAGGAGGCTGAGGCATGAAAATCGCTTGAACCTTGGAGGCAGAGGTTGCAGTGAGCCAAGATCGCACCACTGCACTCCAGCCTGGGTGACAGAGCAAGATTGTCTCAAAAAAAGAAAACAAAAAAACCAACAAAACACTAAACTAAAATAGCTCTACATGAAGTGACTGGAAAAATGATCAGTTTTTTTAGTCAAGTGAAAAAAGCAGGTCTCAGAGCACACACAATGTGAGCCAATGTTTATTTTTAAAACTACATATGTGTATACATATAAACAACATTTTTGTTTATATGCAAAGAAAAAAGTCTTAAAGAATTTACAATAAAATTATTAATGGTGGTCTC